CCCCAAAACCCCAAAACCCCAAAACCCCAAAACCCCGATAAATTTTTAAGCAATTGGAAATTTAAAATGGAAAAATTCATTGACTTCGCTGATAATATTCATGACTTCCCAAGAGTAAACTCAGAAGTTGAGACTGATGCTGCTTTAGGAAAGGACGATGTGAAGATGACTTCTATAGCAATGATCTTTCGGATGTTCGTCAGGGACTCACAGAAGAAATCAGCCTTGATCTCTCAGCAGTCTAGCTGAATTGAACAAGTAGCCGATAAAGTTACTCAGATGTATGAAGATACTTCTCAATGGACTGGCCAAGATATCCAAAGATATTTGAGATCTTTCCAAGATCTCGATATGTCAGATATAGAGCTTCAAATCCTCTTCGAGAGGAGATCTTCTCAAAAGAATGAGAAGTTTCCAGCTCAAGTTTCCTTACCTGGCGGTAAGCCAGAGGAAGGAGAAACTCTATTGCAAACAAGCATTAGAGAAACTTTTGAAGAGACTTCTCTGGACCTAGCAGATTCTCAGAAGTACGCATTGATTGGAGAATTCCCATCAATTCTGCCCTTCATGAACATCGGAGGTGTAGGAAATGTCTATATCAAAGGCTACGTGTTTTTACAGGTATCCTTTGACATCCTCCCCATCCATTGCTGAGAAGGTGAAATAGATGGATGCATATGGACTTCCCTGGATTTATTCAGGGAGGACCCTGATATAGCCTTCAGTTACTTCCATTTCAACTTCCTGCCTGGGATGAAGTCTGAGTTTAACTCAGTACTTCCCTCCCAGGTCCTGTATGATAGTGAGAAGTACTTGTTAGATGATATCTACAGAGATCCATCCCTGTTGAATCATGACTTCAAGTTATCGGGGATCACTCTCTTCTTCGTACATGAATTCTTGAAGTTTGGAAATTACGTCACCACAGAAGAAGAGTTAAGGAGAAGAAGGAAATTTTATTATTATACTGTTGATTTTGTGAATGCAAAGTGGTACCAAAAGTTGCCGTTTACTCCGAAGCTTTATTACCATCCAAAATATCAGAATAGTGGAACGATATATAGGACTCTGCATCCTCGAATAAGAAAGATTAAGAGAAAATTCAATAGCTTGACAGGGAAACAGAAAGCACTTGCTTTTGGATCACAAATCGCATTTTGGCTTTCTTCTTACTGGATTTATAAGACCTTTGCTGAAAGAAGAAGCATCTCCAGCTATGATTTGGATACAAATAAGTATGATAGTAACAACCAAGGCGAAAATAAGATTTTAGATCGACAAGCAAAAATATAAAATGACGCCAATTCAACCCAAAAATGACCAAAAGGGGTTTTGGGGTTTTGGGGTTTTGGGG